TGATATCGTTTGTTCTGTGCATTTATAAATCACTGATCTGCCGTAATATGCTTTACTGGTTCAAAAATATTAATGATACGTAGAAATTTAGGGTACATCTAGATGTTTTGCCCCAACCCTAATCAAATTTAGTACTGTTGTGACATCTGATAATCCCAGGATCGATTAACCGGAAATTTTTTAAGATGTTGAGAAAATATTTTTTGAACCAAAGTACGTAAACCAGCAATACAAAAAGCAATATAAAACCTTTATTTTCGTGTGATCTATAATGGTCCGCTAAATGTATGATCGATTATTTTTTTATTCTAGCATTCCGAGCAACACGTCTTTGTCCAATTTTTAAAGGCATAGCAAATTTTGCCACAGTTCAAAATTCAACAGCTAGTCGTACATACGGTAATCTTAAGGACGAAGATCGTATTTTTACGAACCTATACTTGCGACATGACTTTCGACTAAAGGGTGCGCTAAAGAGGGGTGACTGGTATAAGACAAAAGAAATTCTCTTGAAAGGGCACGAATGGATTTTACAAGAGATTAAAGCGTCTGGTCTTAGAGGTCGCGGTGGAGCTGGATTTCCGTCAGGCTTGAAATGGAGTTTTATGAATAAGCCATCGGATGGCCGGTATGTGTTTTATTTTGCTTTCTTTTTTGGATAAATTAAGTATTTATAATTTAATCAATCGTATTAATTTATGAAATAGTCCTAAGTATCTGGTAGTGAATGCTGACGAAGGAGAACCAGGCACATGTAAAGATCGAGAGATTATGCGTGGAGATCCTCATAAACTAATTGAAGGGTGTTTGGTTGCTGGTCGAGCTATGAACGCCAATGCTGGTATGATCTTAAGATTCTGACCTGTCAAAACCAATTAAAATTAACCTCCGGATTCTTATATATATTTTCATTTAGCTTACATATATATTAGAGGTGAATTTTATAATGAAGCCTCGAATGTGCAGGAAGCGATTAATGAAGCTTATGCAGGTTTGTTTTAAAGCAACCTTGTCAGAATTGGCAATTTTCCCCCAATGGACACTAACGTGGTCTGAATAGGCCTCAGTGGATAAGTACCCATTGGTTTTTAACAGTAAAATTGCCAACTTTGAATTGACTGATAACAATATAATTTTAACTTAATTTTATTATTCACTTAGCTGGACTTATCGGAAAGAATGCATGCGGTTCTGGATATGATTTCGATGTATATATTCATCGTGGTGCCGGGGCTTATATTTGTGGGGAAGAAACAGCCTTGATTGAATCACTCGAGGGTAAACAAGGTAAACCCAGATTAAAACCCCCGTTTCCAGCTGATGTTGGTTTATTTGGTTGTCCAACCACCGTCGCTAACGTTGAAACTGTGGCTGTTGCACCTACTATTTGTAGAAGGTAATAATATTCGTTGGATTATGCGTTGAAATATTTGAAATATTTGATTTAATTGCGATTATTTACAAATAATTGTTAAGTATAGAGGTGGATCATGGTTTGATAGTTTTGGTCGTGACAAGAACAGCGGTACAAAGCTCTTCTGTATTTCTGGTCACGTAAACAATCCTTGTACTGTTGAAGGTGAGAATTTAATATATCTGTCTTAATCCAATCTCTATAATTGGTTTATGAAATTACTTTACATTAGAGGAAATGAGTATTCCTTTGAAAGAACTTATTGAACGTCATTGTGGTGGAGTTCGCGGTGGATGGGATAATCTTCTAGCCATCATACCCGGTGGTTCATCGGTTCCAGTTATTCCTAAGCACATATGTGATGATGTGTTGTAAGTCTATAGCGCTATTTTTATTTTCATGATGATACTACTATTAAACTTTGTCTAAAAGTTATATTCACGTTTGTAACAGAATGGACTTTGATGCACTTCGTGATGTTCAATCTGGCTTGGGCACGGCTGCAGTAATTGTGATGGATAAATCCACTGATATTGTCCAAGCAATTTCTCGCTTGTCTGATTTCTATAAACATGAAAGTTGTGGGCAGTGCACACCATGTAGAGAGGGTACAAAATGGCTTATGGGTACGATGTCGCGTTTCCAGAAAGGTTATGCTGTTCCGAGAGAGATTGATATGGTT